AGATTCTTATCAACAAACTATGTAATTACGGAGTAGCTCACTCTAACTTAAAGTGGCTGCAATGTTATTTAGAAAATCGTAAACAAGTAGTACTATTTGATTTAACATGCTCCCCATTTGAGTCAATAAGTTGTGGAGTTCCACAATGATCAATACAGTTCAATACAATAGTGAACAAAATATGTTTAAAAAATTTATATTTTTCGTTTATACATAGTCATATTAACTATTGTAATATTGCCTGGGCAAACAATCACTCATCTTTCCTAAAAACTATTTACACAAAACAAAAGCAAGCAAGTCGATTAGTTTTGGGCATGGATAGATACGAAAGTGCCGAGCCGTTACTCAAGGAAATAAATGCCCTAAATGTATGCAAATTAAACATCTACCATAACTTGTTATTTATGTTTAAACTTCAAAACGAATTAATTCCAAAATATTTTTATAAAAACTTCTCTCTTATTAATCATAAATATAAAACAAGACACTCAATAATTAATTACTACATCCCACTAACATTACTCAAAAAGTCTGACTTCTCAATTACATGTCGGGGACCACGCTTGTGGAACTCGGTTCTTGACGAAAAAATGAAAAATATAAAATCTATTGATATATTTTAAAGAGCTATAAAAAACACTTACTAAATTTAAACAATACGTGCATTTTTTCATTTTTTTAATTAAAAATATATATATATATATATATATATATATATATATATATATATATATATATGTATTTTGCGTGTGTGTGTATATATATATATATATATATATATATATATATATATATATATATATATATATATATATATGTTTATGTATATGTATATATGTATGTATGTATATATATGTATGTGTCTATATATATATATATATATATATATATATATATATATATATATATATATATATATATATATATATATATATATATATATATATATATATATATATATATATATATATATGTTTATGTATATGTATATATGTATGTATGTATATATGTGTATATATGTATGTATGTATGTATGTATATATGTGTATATATACATGTATGTATATGTGTATATATGTATATGTGTATGTGTGTATGTATATATGTATATGTGTATATGCATGGCCTACTTAAATACACGGCCTTCTATTCTGCTTAAATCGGAAAAAAATAGAAGGCCAGTTAAAATAACGCATATTTTGTCGGGTGGACAATCTTTCTAAAAATATTTTAATTATTGAGTTATGAATTTTAAGTGAGTAAATCTGGCACGGGATAAAAATTTTTGCGTTGGCTTAATCGAAATATTTACTAAACCACTAAACTTTATTGAGGCTTCTTTTTAATAATAAATCATGATAAATTAGTAATCATGATTAATAAATGCTGTGTTTATTGAAAACAACACAAAATTTATTAACCTTCATAATTACATATTACTTAAATGATTTTATAAAGACATGGGTTATATTTGTCAATAGAATTTTTGTGATATTCAAGGACTGTACAAGAAATAAAAATACACAAACTCTCAAAAGTAAGCTTTAAAAGTATAAACAAAATTGAACACAAACTGATTAAATTTACTGATTAATGCGAAGAAAAAAAATGTTCTTATTTTTTTCTCTGTTTTTGTTTAAAGACAACAATGTTATCTGCAACAATGGAATCACAGACTCTCTTTCTGATGTTATTAAAATAAATATTTGAAATAATAGTGTGTATAATTTCTTTTCCACAATTTTGGTGATTTAAACATAAAAATGGTTGGTAACCTTCTCTACTGCCAAGAACTAACTTTGCTGCTTTACGGTGTTGCATTCGAGACTGATAAATAACATCAAATACATGATCTAGCATAGCAAAACTATCACAGACATATTCTAAAAGGGGTAATGATGGAGTTGTTAGCCCACCTCTGGACAATATATTTAAATAATTATAATCATTCAACTCCTGTTGACAATGTTGAGTACAAAACAATTTGCAACATATTTTAAACTTCTTATTCAGTTTTTTGGCAATAAAACCAGCAATATAACTAGCAACTTCACGAGAATCATCTGATAAAGTCACACAATCTAAATCTCTTTCTTTGATCTGATTCATCAAGGATCTAGCATGTTGTGTATCTTCTACAGCATTAATATCATTTTCGAAAATTTGAATTCCTTCCTTTACTAAACTTTTTATTTGGATTATCTTCTCACTATAAATAACATCTTTCAAACTGACAAGGAACCTGCCACCACTCATTTGGCGGTATTGTCCAAATCTTCTTTCTAACGGATCACTTTGAAAACGAGCAGTCAATATAAATTTATAATTATCTTCTAACAGATCTTCTATTAATAAAGCATGACATAATAAAGTTCTTTGTAGTGCTGATAACGTTTGAGGAGAATTTTTGTGTTTTTCCATTTATTTAACCAGTCAGTGAAAGCTCGAAAAAACTCAGGCTTTTTATCATTAATTATAGCAGCATTTCCAAGACAGTTGTTAGAAAACTGATTTTTTGTATTTGTAATTATCCACCATTTATTAAAAAGAGTTAAGAAAGATGCAATATCTAAACGGTCGGGAAAATATGATTTTATTGCTGCTGCTGTAGTTTCATGGAAGATACCTAAAGCAATAGTGACATTTTGCTTGTAGTTTCTAGGATGGACAACTTTGCTATTTATTTTTGGTGCTTTTTTTAAACTTGCATCCAACAGGCTGTCCTTTTCTAATAAATCATGAAATATTTTCCATGATATTTCTCCTGGTTGAACATGAATTTCATCTTTAAAACCTAAAAAATGAAATTCTGGAAAAATAAACCTTTTTTTATTTAGTAAGTTGTTTCGAATTTTTTTAATTAGATGCACTGTGTCAAAGAATAGGTAAATTTTTTGCGATTGTACATTAATAAACAAATCATCAGGTTTTTTACCATGTGCATTAAGCAACTTTGTAAAAGAGGAAACATTTGAAGCATGATTGCCACAAACAACACCTCGAACATTAAAACTATTTTTTATTAAAGATTGAATCAGGTTAAGAATTTCAGTCTTCAACCAATCACTGTTTAATTTTATAATTGGAACTGTTTTGATGACACAAGAGATATTTTCTTTTAAACCAACTACCATGAAGGAAACAATGCTTCTATAACATTCATTTTCCTCACTAATCCCAATTATATCTCCGCCAGAATATTCAGCACATTTTTGCAAATACATTTCATCAAAAATTATTAAAAGAACTTTTGATAAGCTCCCATTTTCATGTAACAACTTTAAAACTTTCATAGAATCAATTTCACCTGCTTTAAGCTTGCCTAACAGTGATATAGATGGAAGTGGGAATTCCTTCAGCAGTAAATTATATGTTTGCAATGATGTGTAACGCAGCATCAAGGCAAATTGAAGCATATTTGAAGAATAAATTTGATTTTTTTTTACTTGGTGACTTTTAAGTTCTTCAAGAATAGAAGACAGCTTCTCTTTTTCGATGCTAAAATGTGAATTGAAGTTTTCCAGCATACTCCTTCTCTTTAACACACATTGGTGGGTTACTCTAAACCAAGGTGGTAAAGAAACTGGAAGATTTTTATAAAAAAGTTTAACGTGAAGATTTTTGTCATTCAGCAACTTGAGGTATGTAAAGTTCATTTTGAATAATTTTATGGAACACAACACAATCATCAAATTTGGAAAATGAATATCCTGTTGGTGAATCAGCAACTGTAAGAGAATTAAGATCTTCAATAACATCACTTGATAAAAATTTCTGATATTCATCTTCTTGAAAAATTCTTTTAGTTGGTGATTTTCTTGGTACAGACTGGAAGTGAAGCCGTTGCTATGCTAGCCGGATATATTGTAGGAACAGGCTTCAAATTATACAACAAACGAAATCGTTTTGCTGATGCTCCTTTGTGTATTAAATTTTCATCAAAATGTTTTAAACAGATCACAGATGATTTAGTGACAGTCCAGAAATTTCTGTTTACAAATCTAACCCATAACTTTCTAAAGTCATCATCTTTTGGGAAACCAAAAACTGGGACTACTTCACCACCATTGTAATTAGAGGTACAACCAACAACACAGCATTTATTAACCATTATTTAATGATTATTATTATTAATAATTAAAAAGTAGTCACAAATAACAATACAGTTTGGCATTAATCTAACGCAAAAACTTTTATCCGGTGTCAGATTTACTTACTTAACATTTATACCGCAATATTTAAAATATTTTGAGAGAGTCTGTCCATATAATAGAATATACGTTATTTCAACTGGCCTTCTATTTTTTTTTCGATTTAAGCAGATTAGAAGGCCGTGTATTTAAGTAGGCCATGGTATATGTATGTGTGTGTATGTGTATATGTGTATGTGTATATGTATGTGTGTTGTGTATATATATATATACATATATCCTTCTTATATATATTCTTCTTGTTTCTTTTTGTTTGTCTGTTTTAATTTTGTTTAAAAAAAAATAATTAATTTTGTTTAAAAAAATATGAGTAGATGAACTTAAATCTATAAAATGTTCGGAATCTTTTTTAATTCAAAATATCTTTTGTATGTTTAAATATATATTATGAAGTTTATTGGATATGTATACGCATATGTACGGATTTGTAAATTATTTTTTCAAGCTTTTTTATTTTTTATTATTTTCAAACTTTTTAGTTTTATCAAACTTAAAAATTATTTTTTAAACTTTTTGATTTTTTCAAACTTTTTAATTTGTTTTTTTTTAAACTTTTTTTAATTTCACTCTTTTATATATTATTGGAAATTGTAAATTTTTTTTATTTTTTTTATTTTCACGAAGGGGCTTGATGATAAGACATTTTGTCTTCTACTTGCCCCAGTCAGCTTGCATTTGTATAAATTTATTTGAATGTAAGGTTAACATTGTAAAATGTGTTTAATGACGAAAAAAAAAAAAAAAAAAAAAAAAAAAAAAAAAAAAAAAAAATTATTCATTATGCAATTTAAATAGTTTTTATTATAGATATTTTAAGAAAGTTTTAAAAACATTTACAGTAAAAATGTGTAATTCTGGAAAGCTGCAAATGTCTAGAATCCTGGTTAATCATCTAGAGTTCTAACTTCTCCAGATACAAATAAGAAATCTTCCATGTCAGAACTCTTATTGCAAAAACAACTGGGGTGTTTTGCACCTAATATGTGAGCCCAAAATTAGCATGGTGTGTACATCATGCTAATTTTGGGTATTATTGCAATATAATAAATGTTTAAATTGAAAATTTTATTTACTGTGGCTTTGTAGTCCCAGAATTATGTTAAGCAACTTTAAGTCAGCAGATTAATACCCTGTCATTTAAGCAAAATGTATACTAACTTTTTGAGTTAAATGCAAATTATAGTATAATATTATAAATAATAGGTTTGAAAAATCAATTGCATTATACCTACTTGTATCTGTGAGTAAAGGTTTTTTTTAAGACGCATATCTTTTTTATAGTTTGAAATGTTTATGACGCCGAGACCTATCTTATAACTACCACCTCCATCATCAGCAAACACTTTAACCTAAAACAGATTTTTAAATTAAAAACAAAAAAATGTGACTGTGTATGAATTACTAAACCATTATGTAAAAACTACCAAAGCATCGTGAGGTTGAATCTTCATTTTCTCAATGATTTTCATAGAAGTTCCGAAATATTTTTTACAAAAATGGAGGGTCTAAATAAAATTAGCTAGTGTTGGTAAATATTTTTTAAACTTTTTTATCTTATTTAAAAGTTAGGTCTACTGCTAACTAACAAGAGTTTAAGATTTAAAAAAGTTAAGGATCAAAATAAAATATAACATTGTTTAATTAAATAGTTAAATTAATTTCACAAAATTATTTTATAGCATAATATAGTGAAAAATAATACCTAAAAGATTTTTCTTGGGAATCAAGATCGACTGTTTCAAAGAATTCTTGTAAACATTTATTTGACTCTTGTAAATGTTTAGTAAGATTTGATTCGACAGATTTTCGACCGTGTTTTACCCGTATGCATTTAGCAATGTTGCTAATATCTCTTCCAGTGAATTGTCTGTGAATTTTCAGATTTTTCATATCATTATGTGTCCACACAGGATTAACACGATGGATACGACCTACATTCAATTTATTTAATAGTTATAGTTATAGAGTTTTTAATATTAGCACACAGATTATACATATACCTAATTTTAGTTTAAAGACCATACCTTTAGAAATAATCAATGGTGTTCCGCATGTTGGTAAGGTAATCTTATTTTGTGAGGCAAATTTTTTTTGAAGAACTTTTGTTGCAAATTTTTCATCAACGTTCTTCATTACAGGAGCTTTAGAAGTTAGTATACGTAAGTTTGATACTCGCGTCTGGGTTGTACATTTGTGTCCTCTTAAACTAGAAATCAACAAAATATTGGTTACAAATCTTCAAAGCAGATTTTTGAGATGCAGGTGGTTTTAATCTGAATTTATAAATGGTTTTTATTTTATTATAAAATCTAATTATTTATAATTAGAAACAAATATACATATATACTTAAACAAAACTTTCTCTGGTCTTCCTATATGTGGGTTTGTGTTGGCTCCTTTTCTTTTAGCAACTGAACATATAAGACACAAGCAAAACCCATGTCTCCTAGTAATAGTCCTCAAGACCATACCTGTTAGAGCAATTTTATGAATTTGAAACCATCTAGTTAGTGGGACAGTATAAGGGCGAGCATGCTGACAGTGGCGGAACTACTGGACGCAGGACCCTGCGTTGCGGGGGGCCTACCAGCTATAGGGGGCCCTCATATAAAAAAAGTTATACTCTCAATAATATTTATACTATAAAACTCTTTTCCGCAAAAAAAACATTCTTTTGCGGGGGGGCCCAAATTTTGAAGTTCCGCCACTGCATGCTGATGAAGAACTGTTTTACATGTAGAGCAAATTCCAGATGCAAATATTGGATCATTGAAGATGTATTCAGAACATAAAAAAATCTTTATAAAATGAGTTAATAGAGGACAAAGTAATGTTACCATTTTTCTGTACCATATTAAACATACTTTTTGATTTAGAATGACATGGAGAATAGTTTAGCATTTTATTTAAGCAGGTGTTTAAATTCTTTTGATTTTATATTATTTATGAAATATCTTGTTATATTAGCTATCATAAAAGGAAATTTTAAATAAATTACATAGAATACAGTGTTTTCAATAAATGATTTGAAATGAACATAGTTGAATAAAGTTATAAAAATCTAAAGTTTTTCAATATACGTAACTTTAGCATTTAAAAATTACTCTAAAAACGTCTTTTTTGGTTTTTTGTAAAATGCCATATTTCATCACGCCAGACATAAATAATATAAAAATATTTTTTAATAATGTGTAAATCACGCAGAGTCAAATTAAGTACTCAAAGTAAAAAATCCAGAAAAATTTCATGAAAATAGATACACTAAAACTTTGCCAATCGAGTTATCAGTGATGAAAATGACCATATTTCTTGTAAAACCTCTTCAAATTTATCTATATCCTCAAAAATATTTTGAGAAAATTGAGACAACTCAGCATAGTTAAACTAAAACTGTTGGTTATCGAATTGTTGATATTGAAATTTTGTCTGGTGTAATTAATGAACTATTTTGCAAAAAATATTTACAATCAAAATTAAATTTTTCAGAAAATTTTTCCAAAAAAAAAAAAAAGGATTCAGCTCAATGTTAAATATTTGCTGCTCTAACTGCAATTACAAAATTGAATTTTATACTTCAAAGACATGTTCTGGGAAAAAAACTTTTGATGTAAATAATAGAATAGTTTATCAAATGTGTGCATTTGGTTTTTAAAAATTAAAAAAGTTTACATCTTTAATGAACATTCCTAAACCTATGACTAAAAATATTACTAAAAATACAACAAAATTATTAAATCTGCCTCTGATTATGCTAAATTTTTTGCAAAAAAAACAACGATTGATGCTGTGAAAGTAATTTGTCAATCTTCTTCAAATATTGTTGACACTGCAGTATCAGTTGATAGTAGCTGGCAACGTCATGAGTTTTCTTCACAAAATGGAGTTTTTACAGCAATATCAATGGACACAGGTAAAATTCTTAGTTGCGAGCCAATGAGTCGGTAATGCAAAGCTTGAAGTCTAAAATTAAAACCTAAGGAAAATAATCCTTGTGCATTTGAAGCTTGGAAGTCATCACATGTATAGAAAAGTAGTCGGTAGTAGATTACAAACTTTTAAAAAACCGTTAAAGGAATTGGAGCCACAGACAAATTAACGAATAGTGTAACTGACCGCCTACAAATCTACTATGGAAATGCTTTTAGGCAAAATGCCAATGATTTAGAAGGTATAAAAAAAGCCATACTTGTAACATTGTTCCATGTTGCATTATCAGCTAAAAATAATTGGAATACTTATTGCCCTGATGCTATACATAGTTAGTGTCATTATAAACAAGACAAAGCTAATTCAACATCTAATTACAAGCCAGGTGCTGGTCTTTCAATCTCAGTCATCTAAAGCCTGTATATATTGATTTATTTGAAAAAGAACTCTTTAAAAAATGCCTTCATGGTAAGACGCAAAACCAAAATGAGTTTTAATGGATTGATATAGCAGCACATACCTAAAACAAAATATGTATCTTTAACGCAGTTGTATTTATGTATATATGATGCTTATTTAATTTTTAATATTGGAAGAAAAGCAAGTATACTTTTATTTGAAAAATTGAATATGATTTCTGGTATATACTCTTCAAGACTGTTCAACCATGAACAAAAACCGTTTAATTTTTACAGAGTATCAAAATCAACCAACATCTAAAAAGTGGCGACAAGTTATTTGTGGATGCAAAAAAAAAAGATAACGCAAAGAATGACCAAGAAGGTTGTCTATATGATCCTGGTTCTTGTTCTTATAAATAACAGATTTTAAATTGAGTATTCGATATTTTTATTTGATAAAAGTGATTATGTAACGCTTAAATGCTTTTTTCTCAAATTGTCAATTTTTAACCTCCCGGCCATCCTATCTCATTAACCGTATGTCAGATTTGTATGAAGTTTTCACCAAATGTTTATTGCATCTAGTTGTACAATTGGAACTAAAAGTTTTACAATACTGTTAAAAGTTTTTGATTTACAGAAGATTTAGTTCACAAAAACGCATAATTTTTAAATACGCCATTTTGAAAAACTCAGCATAGCTAAATACTTTGTTTTTTATAACAATTTTAGTTCAGTTTGTAGATTACTATGTTGTGAATCATATGCCAAAAAATCATATCTTTATGCTTTCGTTTACTGAGATAGAATGGCCGGGGTGGCCTAAACATTTTAGAACGTCTGCCATTTTACTTGGTAACCATGGCAACTAATAAATTTATTTTGCATTATTTAAAATCCTTTTATATAGTTGGTGTCAGGTCAGGAGTATGGTCTTCATGATCATCCTGCTACTGGTAACATGTAACTCAGTGCAACCTGTTCCATGTTCTGCTGCTTTGCAGGATTTGCTATCTAAACAAAGGCTGGAAGGAGTGTTCTTCCTGTCATCAGTACTATCTTATATAAGTCATGCCTATAGTAATTTTTTTTTTCCCCATATAGTTGGAGGTGCCTTAGTTACTGTATTAGCTCACCTGTAATCTACGTTATATGTATGTTTGTGTTCTGTCTGAACCTCTGGCGCGGTGTTCGCTCACCCGTAAGTTACTTTATGTTCTTTATGTATGTCTGTGTTCTGTCTGAACCTCTGGCGCGGTGTTCGCTCACCCGTAAGTTACTTTATGTTCTTTATGTATGTCTGTGTTCTGTCTGAACCTCTGGCGCGGTGTTCGCTCACCCGTAAGTTACTTTATGTTTATGTTTATGTTTTTGATGTTTTTTTATGTATGTTTGTGTTCTGTCTGAACCTCTGGCGCGGTGTTCGCTCACCCGTAAGTTACTTTATGTTTATGTTTATGTTTTTTATGTTTTTTTTATGTATGTTTGTGTTCTGTCTGAACCTCTGGCGCGGTGTTCGCTCACCCGTAAGTTACTTTATGTTTTTTATGTATGTTTGTGTTCTGTCTGAACCTCTGGCGCGGTGTTGACTCACCCGTAAGTTGATTTATGTTTGTTTGTGTTCTGTTTATACTCTAATGCAGCGTGAGCTCAGTAACTAACTACTTACTCCAACTAAAAAACGTACACTCACCTTAGACTCCTGTATTTTGTTAGATGCAGTGTTTTTCCTTATGCACTTGCAAAATGTCATGCCTGGTTTTTTCAAAGTACTGTTGCGGGAAGTAGCTCCTTTTAACTACTCCAGGTAAGGTCAGGATAATCGAGATCAATCTTGCTACTGGTATCACGTAACCCAGTACCACCTGCCACAAGCCCTGCTGCCTTGTAGAGTGTGCTTTTCTTATGCAAAGGCTAGGAGAAATAAACTCCGACTAAAAATTCCCCTGCCTTGGGGCTATTGGTTGAGTAAAGGCTAGAGATGGTGTCTCGATAAAAACACTCATCTTGGGCAGATGTTAACTGCATCCTGCTACTGTCTTGTAGAAGGCCTCCTAGGCAAAGACTTTAGGGGTAAGCAGAAAAATTCTGCTAACCAGCCTCGAACCCCTTCTTCATCTATTAGGCTGGCGTAGATGTAACCTGTGTTACATTGTTTCCTGCCTAGGATGATGAATGCTGGATCTCCTTGACTCTACTCATAGAATTTTGCTTATGCCTCTATGATAATGGCTATGCAACTCTTCCTGTTATCTCCATATGAGGGTACAGCTCTAAAACTCAGTTTGATGGTTCTGAGGCCGGCTGGAAGTAAGGTTTCCCGAACTCTGTGGTAGCTCTCAGAGAGGCTGATTCCATCAACAGCTGCAAAATATCAGAGTATTAACAGTGCCATGTTGCGCATGGATGGTGTCCCTGTTAATGCTTTTGGTGTGCATTGTCAAGGCCACATAAGGAGCCCTATGTCACGGCTTAGGGTTAATTAACAGGACTGAGACAACTGCATAGCTCATTGATTAGAAGGCTGTGCTCTATCTATGAATGAGTCAAGTTCTCATTAAACCCAAATCATGACCAAAGTAACCAAAACTTTAAAACCTAAAAAACCATCCTCACCACCTAAATATTTTAATATATCTTTTACAAATATTCGCGGTCTACGAAGCAACTTTCCATCAGTTGAGTCTTACCTCCTGCAAAATTCACCAGACTTGCTTGCACTGAGTGAAACAAATTTAAGTTCTGCAATTCCTTCTTCAGATGTCAGTGTTGATGGGTACTATCCTTTGATTCGTAAAGACTCCAATAGTCACATGCTAGGTTTAGGGGTATACATACGCATTAATTCCCCTATTTGTCGTGAAATCAGGTTCGACTCCTTTGACCATTCTTTTATGTGCTTTCGCCTAGCACCTCTTCACTCTATCACCTTTCTCTTTGTTCTTTATCGTTCTCCTTCCTCCCATGATTGCACTCTTTTAGATGTTATCTCTGATCAAATTGACCATGCCCTCTCTCTTTACCCCTCTGCCAATATTGTTGTTGTTGGTGATTTTAATGCCCATCACACTGAATGGCTTGGCTCTAACACCACTGATCCTGCTGGCACTAAAGCCTTTAACTTCTGCGTTTCTCAATCTCTTACTCAGATAGTTAACTTTGTGACTCGTTTTCCTGACAACCCTAATCATTTACCTTCACTCCTTGACTTATGTCTTGTCTCTGACTCTAGCTTATGTTCCGTTTCTCCCTTTTCTCCCTTAGGTGGTTCTGACCATGCAATGATCTCTATAAATCTTTCTTCTCGTACTTCTTTTTTGGGCTCACCTTATCATTGCACCACCTA